ATTCTTTTTTAATGTGCCTCATTTTCAAACTCTAAAATCTCTTTCAAACGATTCCAGAGACTATGCCCAACAATGCCTAAATTTTTTTTTTTTACATTATCTCCCACAACATAATAAAAACATCTCTTATCCTTCTAATTCAGCTATGGATTTCATCCAGCCTTGTAATCCATTGGTGCACCCGCTTTTTCACTTCCTGTCTTCTTTCAAATTCTACTCAAGTTAAAATTTCATGGTCTCCACTTAAACACCTCTTCCTTGCCAATGTCCCTCACCTCTGCTGTAAAAAGGGCAGATTTAGAGAACTCAGTCCTACTGCCGTAAAGCAGCCATTGTAATGGTGCCATCTATGTACCATCCATGTGAGAATTGAGAATATAATGTTGATAGATAACGTTCTCAAAATATGTCCTGACCTCCACCCAGCTTTATATTCTTTACATAACACTTAACCACTCTCTGTAATTGTACTATTTCTTTATCCCTCAACAATGTAAGCTCCATGAGGAGAATGCTTTCCTTTGCTTCTCTCTCTATCCTTGTACCTAGAACAATACCCGGCACACAGCACCCACTGTCTTGCTCACCAGGCAGAAGCCCAGTGGCCTTCATAAAGCCTTCATCTTGGCTGTCTCTGTTTACACAGAGTAGCTCAACTTTTTCTTTTTTTTTTCTTTTGTGAGGGTGGAGTGGGGTGGGGTGGGGGTCCTTACAACAACACTGACTGGTGTCACCTTCAAGTCACACCAGAAACCTGCTGTTGGAGCTGTTTTTTACTCAGCAATGCTATAGGATCTCCTTTACACATTTAGCTTTTTTAATTTCAGAGATTCATTCCTACCTTCTCGCAAACCTCCAAATCTCCCTGTTCCTCTTACTCATGACTCTACTGACAACCATATACTGTGGTGACAAAGCAGACACTGTTACACAGAAGCTCCCACAGCTACCCACCACCATACCATATCTGCAAACCCAGCTGAGGAACGTCGGCTTCATCCTGACGTCTTAGGGAGCATCTGTGTGGAAGGGCTAATGGAGGCAGGTCAGGCTTGGAGGCAGGTTGGGCTTAGAGGCAGGAGACTACGTGTAAAATTGGTATGGCACACACTACAGAAATGAGGAGGCCCTGTCCTAAGGAAGCAGTGAGGGTGATGAAGAGAAGATAGATTTGAGGGATAATAATAATATAGAGCAGAAATTTCTTGGTGATCAAATGGACATAGAAGTGATGGATAGGTGTCCTAGATTTCAAGTGTGAGTGGCTGGGTGAAGGGTGGTGTTCATCACTGGGATTGAGAATGTAAATAGAGGAAAAGTTTTGAATAAGTGGACATGCAGGCGTATATTCCTAGTGGGCAGGTGGATACATGTGTTAGACATGGCAAAGAGGTTTGAGATGGAGGATTGGACGTCTTCTAAGCAACATGACTATTGAGTGGATGTGGTCACCTAGGGAAGGTAAGAAAAATAGATCCAGGGATAGGATCCTGGAGGAAAATAACAATTACGGGATGGAGAGAGAGGAAGAGAACCCCCATGGTGTTAGCAGTTAGACAGGTAGGAAGAAAACCAAGGAGGCTGTTGTAATGGAAGCCAGAGTTAAGAAGAGTTTCAGAAAGGAAGCAATGATGGTAGTGGTACGTGTTCCTGGATGGAACATTTTTGGGAGGATCAGCATGGGCAAAAATCAATTTTCTGAGCTTTTAACCTTTAAGAAAAGTGAGGAAGTAAAAGGCACAGCGCTGTAACAATTTTAAAAGTTATCACAGACTACTACAACTGATGCCTAAGTGTCTGACTTAACTGTTTAATCAAAGTCAGTATAGTTTAGCTTATCTCTAATTTATGCCACCATATGTGAGGACTTTATTATTGTGCATGTGTTATGAAAAAAAAAAACTAATTGGCTATCTCCAGATAGTTATTGAGCATTTATTTGTAGTTTTTGTTAAATTTTATTTTGTGCTTCTTTTTTTTTCTTAAGTAACAGAAAACAACAGGTAAGAAAGATGAAATAAATGAGATCACAGGGAACATCATGCTTTGCTATTTTCAGAACTCAGCACACTCCTTACTTATAATTTTTCCTCTTTGTTTTTGAACCCAAGTTGTGTTTTACACAAAGTGTTCATATAAAAATCATATTGCTGAACTATAAAGGACCTTAGATATAGTGGGTTGCCTTTGTATGTGTGTGCACGGGCTGAGGTTGCTGGGAAAGAAACAGAGGCCTAGCTCTTTGTCATTGGCCTTCGCAGCCTTTTCACTCATGATATATTTTGATAAGGATATAATTTAAAATGTAAGCATAACTGTTTTATTTTTGGTCAAACGGCAAATTTTAAAAAGAAGAGGTGTTTTCTCTCTATGTTATTAAAAGAAATAAAGTCTCTATTGTGATTTTACAAGTAAGAAATGGCTGATAAGATTTTCATTAGCCTCACTCTCCATACCTTTACCCTCTTTCCCCAAACATTTCTTCCTTAAATGAAGTGTAGTAAATTATAACTGAACTACAGGAGTAGATCCAAGATGGAAACGCATACATCTGTAATCCCATGCATATCGTTAAAAGGGTGTTGAAACTTCAAATCTTATATACAACCTTTTGTATTGGTAATTCTATGCTTCAGAATAAAGAGATGGTGAAGGCATTGAACATTAACTGTACCAAAGACTGAGAAGTCTGCTAGAAGTATCTTCTATTAAAAATAATACCCAGGGCCGGCCGAGTGGCTCAGTTGGTTAAGAGCTCGCTCAAGAGTTTGAGCTCTGAGCAACAGCNGTTGATAATAACGATGGCGATGATGATGATGATGATGATGGTAGGAGATAATGACATACTGCTTTACTGTGCCAGGCACTATTTGAACACTTTCCATCTGTTAATCAATTTGATTCTCATAACAACACTGAAAGGTAGATGCCAAGGTCGTGCCCATTCTACAGATGAGACAGAGGCTCAGAGGTTAAGTAACTTGCCCAAGTTGACACAGTTTGGAAGTGACCGAATTGGAATTACTTCTTAAGGATTGCTTTCTACAATGACCTAAAATGAAGCCTTGATCATAGTCTTCTTATGTCAGTACTTGGATGTTTCTAAAATATGATGTATAGAACATTTATCGGTTGGTGTGGTTAACAGGATATTCTAACGTTAGTTAATACAGTTTTTAAATAATTTTAATGCTCCGTTAACAGTGTGGCGTTCTAAATACTGTCTCTTTAATTTCAGCCTGTGAGGTTGAAGCAGGGAAAGTGTATCAGGTATCCTCAGAAGAACACATCCAGCCTTTCAAAGAAAACATGGAGCAATTTATTATTCAAGGTAAATTCTGAAGAGACATTTTGTGTTTCCCTCCCTTTTCAGCAGAAAGGTAGAAAGCATTAAAAAAATATATATACACGTTGATTTAAAAGGAATTAAATTTACATCACAGGAAAGCAAATTATATTTAATCATGAGTCACAAAGCTGTGAAAGACTAACAATTTGCTAAACAT